GACCCTGCAACAGCGCGGGACGCTAGGGAGAAGAAGAAGAAGCTCAATTCCCCTCTCTACAAGCTGCTAAAGGACGATTGAAGACATGCTCATCGCCTAACTTATGCCACTTTTCACTGTACCTAACATCAGTGCCAAGCAATATTTACGCTGTGACATACGTCTTTTCATAGCTGTGTCGGTCCTCATCCGGATTCATGCAGAGGTCGGGCTCTTGTGGAAAGCGGCTGCAATCCAGCGGCTCCGGCCATGAGATACCAAACTCTTCGAGGATTGACGAACAGTCAGCTTTCACCTGAAATGTTTCCAATAAGCACTAGAAGATCAGCTCACAATCATGAGTTCAACCAAAAACACGGCGACTCCTTCCAGTGAATGCAGAGATGATCATTTTTGATATTCTACCAAAGTCTCTACTAGTAGTAATATTATTTTCCTTTCTTCATAAAAAACGTTGGAACACATTAATTCGCTTAAAACAAAGGTTCACCAGTATATAGTTATCATAATTAGCAAATGCAAACACGTTCAATAGTACATTTATTGTAACTTCGTTTAACTTTATTTCTCTGTTGCAGTCAACATAGAAATGAAGTTTGAATAATTTATTGAATAGTTGAAAAATAATTTAAATAAAGGCTGCAGGTGCCAATTCTGTAGCTTAGTCTCTTAACCTCAAAACCTAGAACTTTTACCCAGGTGATGAAAGAAAAGACACGACCACTTGCGCCGCACGAGAATCATCATCATGAAGGATCATCATTAACATAGTTAGTAGTCGAAAAATCTCAAATTGACTCTCATACCTCCCACCTCACCCTATTTTACGACTACTCAGTTCTTTAGTTTATATCTGAACCCAAAACACTCAGACCCATGATAGGGTTTATTTGCGCGAATAGGTAAATTTAGTGCTTTCTTGTGCCCTTTCCACCCTTCCTTCATCAAAATCTGATTATTTTTAGATGTTTATTTCTCAGCGTGCATGGCGTACACTGTGAATAATTCGGTGACACAAGTGCAACTGCGGAACCTTCGGCGTACGTACTGCTAAAGGCAAAGGTGGTAAAGCTAGAAAACGAATTAAAAGTCAATATTAAATTTCATAACTCTAACCATTTTGAGAATTTTCGGCGCCATCGCAAGAGACGGGGGCACTTTAGTTGCAATGTGTTTAGAACCACGTGAAACATGTTCTTTTTGTTAAATTAAAGATCAAGCCTTAGATCAGAGGGACAATTCTCATATTTCCCAAAGTGTCTGTCCCTTCCCAGGACTAGTCCTGGTGTAACCCCCATATCTTGCGATAGCGCCGAATTTTTCGTTGAATTGTCATCTTGTATGGTAAACAGAACTTAACTCATCTATCGATTTTTCTTAATTCTATTATATAATCCGGCAGCTGTTCATTGATGTAGGAGAGAAACACCAATGAGAATTGAGAGCTGAGACCCTCAGAAAACCACTCGTGATCGGCTGCGGCACAAATAAGGTTATCTAGTGCTCGTTAAAAAGTGCTCGCATAGCTAGCCGACTAGTTTGAAGAGGACAGTAATGGACAGATAAGGGTACTGTGGATCGAGTAAACGACCCATAAATTTACTCCAGACAGCGATCATAAAGACCTTTGTTTTGCTTTCCGAAACAAGAGGAGGATTTCAGAATTTCAATCAAGGCAACCCGCCAAAGTTTTAGGTTCGGCCCCTCCTATCACAGCCCAATATAAACTGTTTGTATTATAAAATGCTTCAATTCATCTTTTGGCCATTACTAATATTTGCTCACAACATCCCCCAGCTGCCATTTCGCTCATCAAACCACCCTCATCGTCGTGTAATTACCTTCTAAGAGCAGCTGTAGCCACGTATTGTGTACCTAAGGTCAGCTTGACCTCTACCGTACCCTGCACTACCGTAATGGACAGGCGGCGATATTCACTGAAGCGCTAATCCCCGTATTTCTGGCGAACTAAACCGTGCTCTAAGGTCAAATTACCATAATCTGGTCGTAATAGATGTTCGTAGGATGTAGCGTGTGGCGGCTTCGGCTAACACCCCGTTGTCAATTAGAAGCATCTGGCCAGGCGGCCCACGATTTATGCTATCGTACCGATCGCCGAAGCGAGTTCGTCGGCTTATTGATCGATGCATTCTTTTGAGTGTCGTACGTGTAATTCACGTTTTTGAAAGAGGCGATAGCCCTTGAAATGGAGGAAATAAGCCGTGGACAAGTGGAATTCCGGAATGGAATTCGTTCGATGGACGCGTGGAATCAACTGAATCATCGCTGAGAAAAAGGCTCGTCATATGGGAACGTCAATGGTCGTATTCAAGGGGAAACAGCGCTAAGGCCCATTCACGAGGATCTGCAAACCTTGACGGGGTAAGGAAATCGTTGGGGACATTAATTATCGATTAACTCGAATGACAGCTGGTCGGGAAGATTTATAAGTTGACACCTCTGAAGAGCAAATTCTTGGAAAGATTTGCATGAAGTATAAATAACCTACGCCGAGACCCATAAAGCTTAGCCATAAATCATTAGGCTCATTGGCAAGCTTAAACAGCTGTCCATAGTTATGCAATTTCAACGGTGAAAGCAAAGTTCCTCAAAGTATGAAGCTTTGGAACTGTGCTGCCGTGCGTCCGCTGAATTGGCCCAAACGGGACGAAAAGTCGCCAAAATAGCTCTCCAAAAAGAGTGGAAGGTTGTACGGTGTGTTTCGCTCACACGGAGACTATAAGCGATACCTCCTGACCAGATTTAATTCTCAGCTATGCGACTCCTTTCACGGTTGGCAAAGTTCCCTAAAGGGTAATGCGTCACGATTACGCGCTCTACCCCTTTTCCTATCAATCAATCAATCATCGTCGTCCATATGTTTTCTGGATCACGGCGGGTCGTTGGCCAACACCTGCTCCTTCCGTTTCCTCTGCTTGCAGTCCTTTCCATCGCACTGTGCATGTCACCTGCACAATCATAATCAGGTGTCGGAAGTAAAGCAAATGAAGAGCTGAAGGGAGCCTGTCGGAGGTCAAGTAAATAACAAGTAATTAGTCTGTCACCTGTTTGAGCTGACAGCGGTTGAAATGGCTAGGAAGCCACAGGACCATAATAGCGATTCCGCATTCCCAGAAGCCCACCTACCAACGAAGGAAAACGAGTCTGTCTAGCAGCATCGAGGATCTCACGGGTACTCTCACAGTTGAGAATGGTTACTGTGGCCATCCGTAATGAGCGTAATCTAACACACTGAATTACAACTAGCTACGTCCATGGATACTCGTTCCAGTTTAACACGCTGACGACAGCGTGACGCGCATGCGCGTCAGAATTTCACGCGAATCGGGCTTATTTTGCTTGACTTTTTCGGTATTTTTCTATTTCAAAGCAGTCCTTCTACATTATCGGATTCAAAAATAGTCATGTTTAGCAGCAACGGAACTATCGAGGGCTGATGATTTTTTTAAAAAATATTAAAAAAATATGCCAAAACACAAGAACAACGGGCTGTCGTCAATGTGCTAAGAGATTCAGGGCTTCATAAGAGAACTGCGTGATGAGTACCACGCCTATGAGAAAGCGGTATAACGGACATGAGAACAAAGAACGAATCACGTCTACGTGGGATTAAATCCAATAGGTTCCAACTGATCCCGTGGTTCCAAATAAAAAAAAGGACCGTGGCCCATCCAAAAGGTAATCCGCCTATGCAGGGAATAAGCACGAAATCCTTGACGTCTGAATTAGTAATATAGAAAAAAGCAGCATTTATGCTAAATTTCAAGGCTGGTTGCGTTGACCGCGTCGGAACCATTTGGATGCTTTCTGTGACTACCATTTTTATTTAATAAATTGATTTTTGCATAAAAATTCGTCCTATAAAAAAGATGAGAGGAAGAGTGGGCGAGGCCACTGAGGCAGGCGGGTTTTTAAGTTGGGTGAGATGAAGCGAATGTTACTAATGCGTAGTGCGCCTATTTCCGTATCACCAACAACAATCATGAACTCATCTCCCAGACATAATTGAATTTCACCTAATTTTTAGGAGAGCATCTTCACCACGAAAAGCCATACAGGGCCGAAATGAGCAAATTCCGGTTCCATGTAGTAGCCCTGTTCGAATTTCACAAAGGGAGCCCGCTCTTTGAGAAGTGCGGAACTACTCTTCGCCATATGTCGTTCAATGAGTCCTGCTTATGAACCATACATCTTCCAAAGTTTTTCGGTCGCTTTTTCAAATTCGACGAAGACAGAACTGCTATATGAGTGGAGTGTACAACATTAATGGGATAAAAAGGGGATATAAATGGCCTCATTCAAGTGGGAATGCCTCCATGCCAGGGTAACCAAGAGAGGGTTTCAAGTGCATACTATTCCCCAAAATGTTGAGAAGAAGGATAATGAGGCTATGCCAAAGAACTTGCACTTCACAATACATTACGTAGACAGGGATGCTTGATAGACTACGAGAAATGCCTAAGGAACACTTGCCTGTCCCATTACGTGGCTGACTATTCAAGGCTCCTTTACGTTCCTTAGCTTACGCAGGAAGGTTGGTCGTCAAAGCGGCAGAGCCCATTGCCTTTCCTTTTATGCACAGTTTCATGCTGTTGTTTGATTTCTAGAGAAGCCACCATTAAATTTATATCAGAGTTGGATGAATTATTTACTTGACACTTGCAAGAATATAGGATGTGGGAAATTTATATGATTTACGTAGCTCTCCTATACTTCAGCAGGCGCTTCGCAATGATGCAGGGGCAACATTGTGCGGTGCAAAGCATTTGGGACCACCACTTGGATGAAAAAGTTCCTTTCGTTAAAGACGAGACGAAGCCTTGGGCGAGAAAGAGCGTTTCCAAGGCGTGTGAGCAATTTTTGTGTTCCCCAGATTTCCTGCCCCTTCTTCCTACGCTTTGTAGTAGAGGATGCCCTGTATCCTGTGATAGCGCATATTCAGCTCTCCAAAAGGAAAGTTGGTTAACTCTGGGAAGATAAAAGCGGACCAGACGTTGATGCTTTTCCTGCAAAACTTCAAAAAATGACAATTCACACTCGGTTTTCCAAAAATTAAACTGTCTGAAACAGTTGTGCCGTTCCGACACCGTGAGCACCGGAAATGGAATGAAGGATCCGATAGTGAGAAAAGCGTGAGAAATAAAACACATCTGCATCTGTAACTGCAGACAGCTGATCTTCCAAATATCACCTCGAATTGCTTTTCTTTGTCGTCACTGCCACCCCAAGAACCTCTCACATGAGACTGGCATGACTCTGACACCATTGAACTCTTTACTGCGCTTTCTGCCACGTCCCCTCCCTGCCCCATCTTTTCCCCATTATATGCCACAATAATACATCCGCAGTCCAGAGCCTGTAGAATTCTATTCAGAGCTCAAATGGCCGTATAGACGGATGAACAATCGTCGTAAGGAGAGCCAATAATTATGGTCGAGCTTACAATTGAATAATAGCCTATGGCTTTTCACGGAACGGCGCCGCCAACGAATGATCTGAGTTAATTATGTGGCGGCGGAAGTGCACACATCTCCTGCCGTGTGCAGGAACGAAGAAGAATGAGGTCGAAAAAATAATTGCCCTGCTTCAGTCCACCTCATAGTGACGGCTAACGAGCGCTACTAAATCATATCCCTATCTCTTCAGCTGACTCCGGGCTTTGAAGTGCAGGGTCTCTAGCGATGATGACGTAGTTGTACCCTTTCCATACTGTTCAGAAAGTGCTGCAGCATTGAACTGACCATAAGCCTGGATTACTGTAATGTTGCTGCACCCACAAATCAAATACTGTAAAATTCCTCTTCGTTACTACAAATTATACGGGGGAGAGGTACAAATTTCCATAAGTACGCAATCAGACCGGGCCCTCTTGGGCGCGGATTTTGAAAAAAAAAACGGTAAGTAATTGAAAGGAATTTCGTTCATCCTTACCGATCTCTAAACTTCATTTCGATATG